GTATATATATATATATATATATATGTATATATATTATATATGTACAAATAATACCTAGACGAACGCCACTTCGCGTTAAGATGTCGCCACCCCGAGCCGGGACTGCCGTACTGCAACAGACACCCGAAACACTGTCATCATATGCGTTTAGCAACAGAGAAGAAGAGAAAAGGGCTCTTTACCGAATCGGTACGAGGCATGCCGGTAAAGAGTGTTGCAAGAAAACAGACATGGTCACAAACAACATCGCACGGCCGTTGCTGTCGCGTGTCGGCGAACGCGAGAAGCGTGTGTCCTTCTGCAAAAGCAACGCGGCGTCTTTGCTTGAATATCGAGCGCGAAATTATCCTGGCGATTTTCCGCGGTTGCTTTTCTTTTTCGTCCTTTCGCGCGAGTATCCTCCGCGAGAGTCATTACGGCAGCGTTGAATCCCCTCCCCTAGCGCGGAGGTGATCCCGGCTGTAAATCGTCCGACGATCGTTTCTCGCCGCTTTCCCCGCGAGACGAGTGAACGCGCGAGAGGGCTGGTGAGGGGAGGAGGAGGGCGAGGGAAGATGAAACGCGCGGTGTCTCGCAATCTTGGCGATATGATCGCCGGGCAATTTTCAGTTTATCCCCCCCCCCGACGACGAATGGCGCGCGAGCGCGCTCGTCGGATCGCGATCACCTGTCGTTGGCGAACAAAAAGCACGTTGCACGATTAAAAGGAACGATCACGGAGCAATCGTTATCCCCTCTCCCTCCCACGTAAAATAGTAATCCCAACCGCGCGGCCGCGAAACGTAAAACATCCTCGCAGATCACCGAGCACGCGCGCGCGTCGTTTTTTAATTGTCTTTCGTTCTCACGCTGCTTTCGTCAAATTGTTTCGCCCTATCGAGCGCACCGCGGCAGATTCCATCGGCCGCAATTTTCTCTTTGCGCCGCTCGCGATTAAACCGGCGCCGATTCGATCGCTTTCAGCGGCCGTTCAGCCCGGAGATTCGATTCCCAAGTAAAACGTACGCGCGCGCATATTTTTTGCTCGGTGTTCCTTCAAAATCCCGATACATCTCGCGACAACCTGCGTCGGAAGAGGATACTCTTCGCTCAACATCGCGTCGACGTTCTATCTGGCAAAAAAAAAAAAAAAAAGGGCGAAAAACACAATCATGCGCGTTCCAATTGGACGGACGCGCGCTGAACGCTGGCGATAATAATAATAATTGATCAAACGGCATCGCGGCGCGTCCAACTTATTTGCCGCACGCTTCTCGCGCTCGCATTTCGGCCGAGCGATAGTGGCATGCCGCGAAAATGCAATATACATCAGCCGCACTAGAGCCGCTCCCGCGCGATCGACATTACGAGTGGTTACGAGTCCTCTCCGATCTTACCGTGTACGGTATACGATGTCCCGTTTGCGCCTCGCGCGGGCACCGCCGGACAGGAAATTTCCATAACCCCGTCCAGCGAATTATTTTCGCGGCTGGTGATCCGCCAAGTCGTAATCACTTCCGCGTGTCTCATGATGCGAGTGACGCGGGGATTTAAGGGGACTGGAGGATCAGATTGCTGAAAAATCGTGCTTATTTTTGATAATATTTGTTTAAAAACAAAATTTTTCTACTCTTCATCTCGTTCACTATGTTATATAAATATATGTAAAATTTTCGTCACAAAAAATCATTATCAAAAACAAGCACGCTTTTTCAATAATCTGAACCTCCAGTCCTCTTAAGGTAATTCATCGACGGGGCGAAGCGCAATCGTCCTCGTCGTCCTTGTCGTCTCTCGTCCTGTGACGTTTTTTCCTCGCTACGCAGAGGACGACGAGGACGACGAAGAAGGGCTCGAGATGCCGTCGCATCCGAAAGATTTAATGTGCATTACGAGAACGTAACGGTGGAGCGGACTCGCGAGGAGCGGCTCGATAGCGAGTCGTAAATTTCGTGTCGCCGGTTAGTGGGAAATCTCCATGAGACTGGCAAAGACAGACACAACGGCGCGCGCCGCTTGTTAGTCATCAGACAGATGCGGCAATCATTAATCTAACGCACGTGTTCGCCGAGCGAACGAACGAGCGAGTAAGCGAGCGAGCGAGCGAGCGAGCGGCTTCGCGTTCCCGGAGATGTAATTTTAGCGCGCGTCGCGCGGCGGAGAAAAATCGCGACAACGACGTGAAGAAGAATCGCCGGGCGGAAAGAGGAATTTCTCGCAAAAAGAAAAAGGAGAGGAAAATGAAAAACAAGGAGGACAAGAAAAACGATGAGAGTCAAAACTTTCCGTTGCGACGCGCGAATGAACGACGCGAACATCCGCGAAATCTGATCGACCGGATCCCCCGAGTTTAATCGGTTAAACGATAATTAATAATCGGCCGCCATCTTGGCCAAACGAATGCCCTGACAATCGGTTCGACGCGGTTTAATCCTCGCGTCGAGTAAATTCGCTTCATCGAAGAATCACGCGATAAAGACGAGAGAGCAGCGTCGGATAGACGATATGCCAAGGAGATAATAGAGTTGCTTCTCCCTCCCCTCCCCCTCGCACTTTCTCTCCTCGTGAGAGTGAATAAAATTTCGGTGAGGTGAGAACCGCGCACACAGCCATGTCCCTCGAGTCTCGAATCCCCCCTTGATCGCGCGAAATAATCAATTTCGTCATCGCCCGACAGAACGCGAAATAGAAGCGGAAATAAAATCTTCATTTTCAGAAGCGATCTGTCTCGTCTCGACGAGCGAGCGGCGAAGCCGCTTTATTATCGGTCGCGAAAAATCAATCGCCCGGACGAATGCGTAATACCCTGCAATGGCGGTGCGCGACAAATCGCCGGCTTGTAAAGCTCAACCGGGCGATAAATACGCGATTTACTTTATGAAATCCGACGTGATGCGATCTTCAAAGATACGAGAGTTACGAGAGGGGCTTTCCTGCCGCGCGCCCCGGTCGTCGTATAAATCTCGCGCGCGATATAAACCGAAGTGAGCGCTCGCGCCCCCCCCCTCCGCCCCCCATGCAGCAGCCGCCATCGACAATTAACATTTTACGGGTGCGTGCGCGAACACTAGGGTGGATATTATTTTAAAAAGCCGCGCAATACGCCGATAAATATTAGCAATTTCGCGCCGGCTGCGCGGCCGTTCGCAGGCTCATTAACGCAGGCTCGCGTCGTTAATCCGATCCCGATGAAAGAGTGGATTGTTCTCCAACCGCGGCGATTTGCATTTTAAAAACAGCGCGCGTGCGCGCGCGCGCAATCCGCGGCGTTTTGTCATCGTTGCGACACCCGGCGCCGATCTCCGCATTAGCACGTCGTAAAATCTCGCGGCGAGCGAGAAGCCCGATGGTAATTCGCGGCGGAATTCTCTCAGCCGCGTCTGCGACCAGAAAACCGACCGCGGGAAACCGTGGTGTGGCGGGTGGACTTGCCGCCGCGAAACCCGCCGTTCATCCTGCCGGCCGGCGGGGATGCTCGAAAATTCGGGGAAGTACGAAGCCGCGACGAGCGGCTCCCGTGCGGTCCGCCGGATTTCGCGGGGATTCCCCGCGCGATTAATGGCGCTGACGAATTCGCGGCGGGGAATTGGAGAGCGTCCCGAGAGCCGGCGGAAAAAGCGCATTCCGGGATTCGATTTAGCCGCGAACGAGCGCGGTGTCTTAGCCGGAATTGCCCGCGACGGAAAATAAAAATAAGATCCAGAAAGACGGAAAAAGAAAAGGGGGAAAAGAGGGTTCGTTCGAAAGGAACGACGAAGCACTCCCGGTTGCGTTCCGTCCCGGCTCGTCGGTCGGATTTCCCCGTCCTCGCGGGACGAGCGAGTTACAGCGGGAACTCGCGCCGATGCTCGAAAAGCGAAAAGATACGGCCGCTCCCGCGCGATTCATTCGCTGCAAGACGTCAGTCAGCCTTCGCTCGCGGCGGCAGAGCCGGGCGTGTGTTAAGCTGTCTTCGTGCTGACGGTTTACGTCGGCAGGACCCGTCACGCGAGCCCGAACAAAGCTCTACCCCTCCCTGCCCCCGCTGCCGTGGAAATTAACGCGTCACGACTTCATCGGATTTGATAGGATGCATCTAAGCCTCATCGCGCGCACCCCGTCGAGGGTGGTTCTCGATGGGGTGCGCGCGGGCAGGTGCTGCGCGCACGTCGCGAAATACTCGCGACGTGCTCGGGGGAGTCACGCGACGTTCCGCGACGTCGCGGTTCGTTAACGTTAACTACGTACAGCCGCGTTTTGTTGGCGATCGAAATGCCGAAGAAACGTCACTCGGGAGACATCCGTTTTCTTTCTTCCTTGGCTCCCTGAGCGACTAATTATTCTTCGGACGATTCTCGAGATTTACCGCGAAATTTACTTAGATTTCTTTATTTTCCGAATTTCACCTTGAGAAATTTAGAGACTCGATGAGAGAGACGCGCAGCTATCGTCACGGCATTCAACGTGCGACGTCGACCACGGAGGATCCGCCGATCGGGCCGCGAGATCGATCGCAACGTACGTACGCCGATTACGCCCCGGAAGAGCAGCTCGCGCAACATTTACACGCAAATTGCGCGCGTGACTCGCCGGAATAAAGCGACCCGGGGAATAAGTCGGAGCCGCCGAATTTATTTCGCGAGTTCCGTACGCGGACTCTTTGCGAATTTATATGGAAATGCGAGGGGGCGCCCTCCTGCGCGGGGAGGATTTTATTCTAAACGAACGACTCCATTCGGCTCGACTCGGCTCCGATTACCGACGATTCCGCTCCCGATCGCCGTTTGAACACCCTCGAGCTCGCGCGCTATTTTTCTCTCTCTCTCTCTCGCTCTCGCTCGCTCTCTCTCTCTCTCTCTCTCGCTCTTTCTCGCTCACGCTCACGATAATTTGTCGCGGAAGCCGTGTTAGTGAAGCTATAAAAATAGCGTCAGCGGTTAAGCTCTTCTCCCCCTGGCGAGGAGGAGACGCAAAGACGCAGCCTGCACTCTCTCTCTCTCTCTCTCTCTCTCTGCTGACGGTCTACCACACAGCGCGGGTACCTTTCATTGGATCAAGGCAGGTTTCCTGTGGTTCATGTTAAAGAATCGGAACTGTAGCCGCAGCGTTAGATCTTTCCGTACTGTTGGGAAAGAATAGGTGTCGTAAGTATATATCGCAGCTTGAGACTCGCGTATTCTGTCGTCGTGTGATGGTGAATGTTCGCGATGATCGTGGGGGGGGGGGGCTATCGCCGCGGCGGCGACCCTCGAACTGGCGAGACCAGCGAGACTTCCGATCGTCGACTTCGCGGATTCCTCGATCGAGCGTCTTGACTCCGAGATGGTCTCCTTCAAAGTTTCGATTTTCAGCCGATCCGCTGGCACCCCCGGACGGTATCGTGCGGTTCGCGTTTGCCGTAAAATCTCAGTCTCCTGAGCTGATGCGACGGCACGTTCATCGTTCAACGTTTTTAGCTCTGGTTATTATTGATTAATAATACGTATGATCAAAGAAAATTTTATTAATATTCTGTATATATATATATGTGTGTGTGTGTATGTGTAAAATATAATAAGTATGTAAAAAAAAAAAATGGTCGAACGGATCGGCTGGAATAAAATGCGACATCGAGTCAGACTCGGCTCGGGCGAGCTTTACGATGACCCAAAACGTCGTCTTTAATCATATTGATTTTCCTTCGCTCGTCCGCATTAGATATCGGAAAATTGCCACCGACGTTACAACCGCTTCTATTGGTCTCGCGAGTCGAGGTGGACCGCTGCGACTCGACATCGCGATCGACACCGCCTGTCAAAGCGGACGCGAACGCGTCGGTGACAAGCACCTACACGTGGAGCAACGAAATAAGTAGAACGAAACGCGATGTGGGGAGCCTGGCGGCTCTCCTTGGTCCTGCCTGACTGTGAAACAGCTTCGGTGAGGTGCTAAGAGGTACGCTAAGAGTCACACCCTTTTGTCATCCGTACGTCGCGTGTAGCATGTGGTGGTTATTCGAGCGTTAGAGAGAGGTGAGAAGATCGCACTTGAAGGGAGCTAGAAACTTGGCAGGAGCGCGGGAAAAATACAGAACAGAACAAAACAGAAGAGAAGAGAAAAGAGGGGCAAAAAAGCGATGCTGACGATGCAAGAAAGAAACCAAATCGTGCGACGAATTCACGAGAGGTCCAAGTGTTGCGTTAGTCACGACGCGTGCCGTTCGTAATCGCGCGATCCTGCTTCGACAGTCGCGAGGAACAAGAGCCGTTGCATTCTCTTAGTCACGAGACAGACACGAGAGACGATCGTGGTGTGTTACACGCGCGGTTTCGGCCTCGGCGAGAAAAGTCTTAGACAAAATGCACATAAAACGCAAGACTGCAAACAGGTCGTTCCTAATGTTCAATCGGATGCTGAGACCGACAAGACACATTCGGGATCATCACGGTGCCTACAGATACATACTCGGTCTCGGTCAAAACGGTGCGACCCTTTGCATTCATAATTTAACAATCAAGACACGACACATTCGAGTCGACATTCGAGACAACATTTCTCGGCAATTGTGACTCGCCGGAACTTATCAGTAAGTAATATCGCGCGAGACTTTATTATTTTATACGATAATATCAAAATCAATTTATAGTAACGTCGGTGAATCGTGTGAATTGCGACTTTTCGTCGTTGTTTCGTCGAGTAAATTTAATATCGTAAACAAGAATCGACTTCTATATACTTCAGCAACTCTCTTCGCACGACGAGATCCGTGCGACGAGATTTCGTTCCAATTGACGTAGATTGCGATAGACGTTATCGAGACGAGCGCGAGTGCAAAGGGTCCAGTATCTAAGTGCTAAAAACAAGTAACCAAGTCGCACGGTGGGGAAAGACGAGCTGGCTGTTTTAACAAGAAAGCTACTCACTGCGCCGCGACAGCGCTACGCTCGGTTTTTTAAGTCATCTACGGGGAGAACGGTGAAGGTTCCAGCACCAGCACCGATCGCTACGACCTTAGCGCGTTCCATGGGTTCCACACGGCAGACTGGCCAGATAAATGAGTCGGTTAAAAAATCGCAATTATCTGAATTCGTGGTCGGATCGGGCTTGAGTTTTTCGGCAGAGACCGAGACAAAACGGAGGCGTGGGAAAACGCGAGTAGCTCTTATCTTAGCAATTTCTCGGGCGTTGAAAGATCTAGGGGATCAAGATCTACACAAAGTCAATCGCAACGGTCTCTACGAAGTGGTTCATTGATACATGCGGTAGGAGGACGAAAACAAATAAGAAAAGAAACGACTTCGGCACAGTTTATTAGGATTTACGCGAATGGACCGCGTCTGTTCTTTTTATCTCGAAAACTAAATAGATGGATCTCGAAGCTTCGAGACGACGATGAGATGAATCGAGTTTGTACCGTTTGTATACCGTATAATGTTACTCTTTGTATATTCAGCGTCAAGCGATTTACGTTTACGTAAACAAATTATCAGCACAACCGAAAGCGCACAAATCGCACATTCCCGAAAACGTCTCTTGAATACTTTGTCTTGTTAAATAATCAAGAATACGAGAAGAAGCTGCGCGCCGCTCAACGTTGACCACAAGCGCGCGTTTCGAATCGTCAAACTCTAGTTAAAAAAGCAAAAAGATGAAAATCGGTCGACGATTACCGGCACTCCGCACCAAATTAAACTACCCTACAATCTCCGGCTCTGTTTCGCTGAAAATTGAAAACAGACGAATCAGTCTGACAGCTGCGCCACTTGCGAACACGTCTTTCTTTTTACGTGTAATGTCCTCAATGAAAGAACGAATGGGACGAATGATCAATGAACGAGTGTAAACTGAAGGATGAGTGACGAAAGAAAAACAACTGGAGGCATCAAGGGGGGGATAACGAAACGTGACATGAGATATCCAACGTGTTATCTCGTATACAATTTCCCACCAAATTTCGACTTTGGGGGACACGTATACGTGATACTGAATAAATCTTTTGTGAGCATTTGCAATGATTCTAAACTACAGGGAAGAGGTTCCACTCTCTAATTGCACAACGGGACGAGCCGGGTTCTCATAATTACCTCTATATGTCACTAGCTAGAAAAATGAATGAACTTATACAGCGGGATGAATGTGGATGAGAATGGCGAGATGTACTAAATAAAGCGCTACGTGAGACTACGAAGCAGATTTGGAGGGGTTAGAAGCATTTCGTCACGTGGTCTCCATAGTCCCCCATACAATTGCTCCCATCTAAACGGAAAATTAATGGTACAATTATCGTCGTGTCGCAGGAACAATGGTGCTATCAACGTGACGCGTTCGTAGGAGCGCCTCGTTGGGTTCCTATCGGTTAACGCGATTTACGACACCTGTTCGAGATCGCAGCACGCTGACCTAGGGAAAAAGAGTCACGTCGCATTGGCGACGTGAAAGCGTGGAATGTGAAAAGTTACTTTGTCTAAAACGCGAGAGTGTACACTTCCGGAAGAATATCCTCCTACCAAAAAATGGGGGCCTTCCGTCATTCGCGCTGTTATTGAATCTGTTGCACCTGGGAGAGGCTTCTCGCACTCTTCACGTTTGTAACTCGTGAGATAACAGGTGATCACTTTCTATCGGGGCGTTGCGAATCATTTCACACGCGCGAAAGAGGACTTCTCGTCCTCAAAAACGACACGACTTCCGTTCTACCGGATTATTAATCGTGCGTGCTCCCAGTGATATTCTACGATGTGCTGAAAAATATCATCAACGTCGGTGTCACAAGACGCGCTTCGTGTACTTACTCCTGTCAATGTTGCGTTGCAGATGCGCGGCCACGCGGTGTCTAGCGTCGTTGAACTCCAAGTGCAACCCGAGTCGCAGCAATGTCGGGTTTTGTTCCACCAACTGTGTGATTTCCATCTCGATTTTGTTACCCAACACTTGTGACCTCTGACAGACAAAACCGCAGGGTGAGATCGCTTCATCGCCTCGTCGCGTACACACGATTAACACATTTAAGCCGCACGACCTACCTGGTTCGAGCATCGGAACTCTTCAATGGACTTCGTTTTGAGAAGGGCCCTGATGAGCCTCACTATCACAGCCGGGCTTATAAAGTTTGTTTCCACGCTGAGGGATCGAATAAATTCGTTAAATAGGCACGAAAGCAAGGGAGAACTGACGGGATTTGCGAGATTTATACGCACTTGAGTACTCTGAGCGTCGAATTCTTCTCTACAGCGTCTGCCAGCCGTTGCGCAGTTTTGTCGTTCAGTCCAACATTGGTTAAACTCAGCGATTCGAGGTGAGTGTTTATTTCCAAGCCTTCGAACAACTGCATGAACTTTTCGTCCGAGATATTCTGCAGAAAGATCCCGTGTTATCGGTTTAGTCGCGTCACGAGATACAGCGCGCTCTCGGCGAAGGCGATACTCACTTTAATATTGTTCCAATTCAAGTCGGTCAGAGCTGAGTCATCGTCGCGCACTTGTTTGATGGTGGCGTCGACGTCTGTGTCGTTGGGCGGCTCCATGGGATAGACCTTCGGTTGGCTAGCCTTCGTCACGCCGTCCCAGCCGAGTCCGACCGGTTGTCCAGAGTTCAACAAGGACGCGTGATACTGATCTTGATTCATCATGGAATGGAATCCAAGAATAGCTGCAACATAACGAGGCGTTCTTCATCGCATGCTCGTCTTTCTCCTCTACTCGGACACAGTGGACGATTTGAGAGACGATCTGACTCACCAGCAAGATCGATGATTTCTTCTTGGGTGGCTGACGAGAGAGCTTGTTCGTACTCTTCCCCGAGATCTATCGCGATCTGTTCCTCTGCCTCCTTCTCTTTTATAGTCTCTTGCGGCGGAGGTATCCACTGAAACGTGATTTTTACAGAACTCAGTGTCAGACTATGCGACGGACTGCAGTGTCCTCATTCGAACAGCACAGAAAGCTGCCATTTGTAAACTCAATATAAATTCTGACTCACTTTTTTGCCTCTGATCACACCAGGTACATATGGCTTCAGCTCTGGAATATCAGGCGTCTCCAGAGCCTGCTTGTTGATGTGCTCGATGAGTTTCTTTCGATTCAGCGGCCCTGTAGGACTCTTGTCACATTCATAACTGCAACGTTGCGAAGGTGGCATGAAGCTATCCTGTGGGCACAATCCCAGATTAATATCTCAGATTAATATCTCAAAGGAAAGCATGGTGACAAATAATGAGCACTGTATTAGTTCACCGACACAAAGACAGACTCACATCAGGATCCACTTCCTTGGCGAGTATATTGATCTCTTCCGGCGTGAGTTGTGCCAGTAGCTCATCCACGTCAATATCTTCGTACTCACTGAGATCCTTGCCGTACAACTTGGCTGCCGTGGTCATGGTGGTTTTCTTGGTAGACGAGGAAGTCTGCAAATCGTCCCATGGTCGTTGGTCAATAACCGAATGTTTCCTCGACATTCTCGCGAGATTCTACGACAATGCACGAACAACGCGCGACTACCCAATCGATCCCGGCCACTCGCACGAGAACGTTCGCTTTTACCAAACGTCTACCCGCAAAATGAAAAATTACGCAACCATAGGGACAGAGATGCGCCTATAAATAGCGATTGCATCACCGTAAACAATGGGAAAGGCTTCGTCGATTCGGGCTAATTATCTTGGCGTCCATTCGCCAAGTTGGAATCAATTATTCAAAGGGCGCATTGACCCGCGCGCGGTCGCGTTCACGGGAGGACGCGCGCCGAGGAAAGAGAGAGAGGGAAAGAACGACAGAAAGAAACAGAAGACGTCGATACGGGCGCGCCGCTCCGGGGAAGGTGAGCCAACTCGCGATAGAACACGACCGACTTCTCTTATCGCGGCGAGGAGAACACGCGTTATCGTGAATGGGCGAGCGAAGGAGTCACCGGTGAAGGCAGTCGGCGCGAATCTCGCCCGATCGTCCGCCCATCGACTGATTCGATCGGCGGCGATCGACATCGGCACACCTCGCCTTTAGATTCGGCCAGCGTCCAACGCGCGGCGGCTGATGCCCTCTGACCCAGATACAATTCGGGATCGGTTTTCATTGACAACTCGACGATGGTGACGGCAGAGCGACGGCGGCAGCGAGGGACGAAGCCGTTCGTCAACGTCGCCTGACGTCGCCACCGCTGGCCGCCGTCCGAGCTTCGTTGGAACTTACTCGACCAACTGGACGCGCCGGAACGTCCAGTAAGGATGGACGCGTGCGTCGCGTAGACGGCTGAGCTCAACGATTCAAGGCTGACGACTAGCCGAGTCCCGCACGACCACGCCGCCGACAACACTTCCAATGCACAGACACGCACGCTCCTCTGACTGACCAGTCCACCCACCGCCAGATCGCCGCTGATCGCACGACAGCGCCCTTTGACACTGATGATGCGATGTCACGAAGGTTGAGTCGACTGTCGACAGTCGACTCGATCGATAGTCGGCAGTCGAGAGTCGATTAGCGTGCCCGGCGACTTGTTCAAACTCGGGGATCTCCCTGAGCGACTCGTATTCGCACTCGCAAAAATCGCGCGAAGACCGAGGTGAAATCGTAGTCTTCTCGCGGTAGATTTTGCGAAAATGTCGGCACGCGTTCGATCGCGCGTCGCTGGAAGGTGTTACGGCGAATGGAGTATACGAGGCTGTGCGAAGGCGGGAAGTTCGAAACGGCGGCGGGAGCGCGGGCGTGTCGCTCCGCGACGGAGGTCGGACGGGTGGAGATGTAAAATATTTACCATCGTCGGAGAGAAACGAGTCGTGTGGAATGTTAATAATGTATGCTTCGATGATGCTCGGAGACTAGATTTCTCTCGGCAAAGAACGAATTACGAACGATAAACCGAACACGACACGGATCGCGACTAAGATCCGCGATAACGAGTTCACCAATAAAATACTCGTTATCAGATTATCGCGAGAGCAAACTGATAGAAAATGCAATTACCGTGCGATCTTTATCTCGGTGCTCGTCAAGTTTAGCGCATGTGTTCTGTGTAATACAATGATATCTTCTGTGACTACGGATGGACTACGGACGCGGCTGCATGTCCAGCGATTTTTTAAGTTGACTTTCGGAGACGCGAGTACTTTTCTCGACACACGGATATTTTCGAGCATTCTTCAGATATAATACCGACATTGCGCGCGCGCGAAATTACGCGTGGAATCAAGTTGTCCTCGGTTCACAAAGAGCCTCTCGCTCCTTCTACATACGCAAAGGTCTCTCGAGCAATTACCCTTTTCGCTAAATTACACTGAGCAACTTCGGGATGCCGCTCGTTCTCTCCGCGGTCGTAATCGCCTGATTGTGTTGAAGATTGTCATAGCGATGATGACATAGTGATTATTTAGGCGATATATATATTGCATTGTATTAATTAAAATTATATATTATATTATCCGATATTATATCGTATTCTAACATATTGTAAATATTGTAATATATTGTACACCTTGTATTATATATGCACACATAATTATTTTGTACATTAGAAAAATAAAAATACAATATTCACAAACATTCTCTTATTTTATTAAACCCTCCTTAAATGTGTTTCCTAGACATGCCATTTTGATAGTATAAAAATTAAAACACAAAAGATCTGCAATTTTTTAATTTCCCACCAGAAGTCCCGAATATCTCTTCGGTTATCATGTATTCCTGTTACAAAAGTCCGAAAACTGAAAGAATGAGAAACTTCTAGTTTCCCGCCAGATGTCCGGAATACCTCTTTGGTTATCATGTGTTCCGGATACAAAAATCCGTAAACTTAGAGAATGAAAAACTTCTAGATTCCCGTCAGAAGTCCCGAATACTTCTTTGGTCATCATATGTTCCGGATACAAAAGTTCGAAAACTGAGAGAATGAGAAACTTCTAGATTCCCGCCAGAAATCCGGAATACCTCTTCGGTTATCATGTTCTCCTAGTACGAAAATGCGAAATCGATGAAATTTGGATTTTATCGATTTCACGTTTTCGTATTAGGAGAACATGATAATCGAAGAGATATTCCTAATTACTGGCGGGATTCTTGAATCTTCTAGAACATTTTGAAATCTTCTAGAAAATTCTAGAACGACGACCACGTGGAACGACGACTACGTGACCGAGGACGACGAGCACGTGGTCAGGAAAGGCGACCACGTTTTTGATTAAAATTAAATTAAAATGGATAGAATAAATAATAACTAATAATAACACTAAATTCATATTTAAACGCATTTTGATTGTTAATTTTTAGTACATCCTTTTGTAATATTACATAATATATAAAATATATTTTATGTACAATATGATATGTTATAGTGTAACATGATATATAATATAAACGTGTAATATAATATATATAAAGATTAAAATTTTAAACATACATAAATCGATAAAAAGAATTGGATTTATACAGGGTGTTCCATTTTAAATACCCCAAGCAAATATAAGAGAGGAGAGTGTGAGGGAGAGTGTGTGAGAGGGTGAGAGGGTGAGAGAGAGAGAGAGAGAGAGAGAGAGAGAGAGAGAGAGAGAGAGAGAGAGAGAGAGAGAGAGAGAGAGAGAGAGAGAGAGAGAGAGAGAGAGAGAGAGAGAGAGAGAGAGAGAGAGAGAGAGAGAGAGAGAGAGAGGAGAGAGAGAGAGAGAGAGAGAGAGAGAGAGAGTATGTGAAAGGGAGAGAGAGCGTGCGAGAGGGAGAGTATGTGAGTGTGTAAAAGGGAGAGAGGGCGTGCGAGAGGGAGAGTATGTGAGTGTGTAAAAGGGAGACAGAGTGTGATAGAGTGATTGAGAGAGAAAGTGTGTGTGTGTGTGTGAGGAAGGGAAACGTGAGAGAGATCGTGTGAGAGAGAGAAAGTGTGAGGGAGAGAGAGTGTGAGAGAGAGAGAGAATGAGAAAGAGTGTACAACAGTAGAGAGTGTGAGAGAGAGGAGAGTGTGAGGGAGAGGGTGTGAGAGAGAGTGGAAGAGTAAGAGAGGGGTGAGTGTGGGAGAGAGGAAAGTGTGAGGGAGAGAGAGTGTGAGAGAGAGAGAGAGAGAGAGAGAGAGAGAGAGAGAGAGAGAGAGAGAGAGAGAGAGAGAGAGAGAGAGAGAGAGAGTGAAAGAGTGAGTGTAAGTGACAGAGTGTGTCAGAGAGAGTGTGAGAGAGAGACGATATGAGAGAAAGATTGTATGAGAAAGTGTGAGAGAGAGAGAGAGAGAGAGAGAGAGAGAGAGAGAGAGAGAGAGAGAGAGAGAGAGAGAGAGAGAGGGGGAGAGAGAGTTTGAGGGGGAGAGAGTGTAAGAGAGAGGAGAGTGTGAGGCAGAGAGTGAGAGAGAGTGAGAGAGAGAGAGAGAGAGCGAGAGAGGGGGAGGGAGGGAGGGAGGGAGGGAGGGAGGGAGGGAGGGAGGGAGGGAGGGAGGGAGGGAGAGAGAGAGAGAGAGAGAGAGAGAGAGAGAGAGAGAGAGAGAGAGAGAGAGAGAGAGAGAGAGAGAGAGAGAGAGAGAGAGAGAGAGAGAGAGCTTAAGATGGTCTTGAATAAAAATGTTAAACGTCGAAATTTTCATTGGTTATACAGTTACACGTTACTATGCAGAAAATATATGTCATGGAATTTCAAACTGTATGCGCCTGATACATTGTATGTTGGAGTCGGATATTATCGAACTTATATTATACTCCAGATATTATTTTTGATTTATAATATTTATTCTAAACTTTGTTATGAATAAGCTAAAATGGCGCGCGCGTAGCGCGCGCTTGTAATGTTCTAGTACAATAAAAGATTGGGGCTTCCATTTAAGAAAAGTAATGATTAGTGAATATTTCGAAAGTGGCGCCATCTTTAAACAAGCTGATATAGGTATTTTATATCTCCCTTCAAACCATGCAACTTTTGTCCGAAACATTTTTTCGTATTTTCCGAGATACCTGAGGTAGTTATTATTTAAATGGGACACCCTATATATATTTCTTTTTATTTGTTTGTATCTTTTTATATGTAATTATTTGTTTTTTATTTATTTATATATATATAATCATTTGCTTATTTATTCATCTATTTATATACTCGCGCGCGTACGTGTTAATTTCTCCCGTCTTCGAATTTATTCACTTTTCGCCATCGCTCTTTACTTCCACCTTTACACTATTTTATTTCTTTCTTATTATATAACTGAAACACATTCCTTCCTTTAATCGTTAATGAATAAATGATTATTATTGTTATACAGCTGTGTAAAATTGACACGAGTTACCCAACGACGAGTGACCGTACCTCTTGCTCTTGCTTCGTCGTGCCTGTTTCGTTCGTCTTCGTATTTTTCGAACGAAAAATGCGCCGGAGATGAAGAAATCGCTCGACTGGTTCTTCGCGCATTGACGCGTCTCTTTAGCAACTTGGATTCCACTTTGTGACCGTAATT